TATCTGTGCCGAGGTGCTGGAGAGCAGCCCCTATCGGTGCAGGCGGAAGGACGGGCTCCTCTGGCTGATAGGGGCCGGCGGCTGGTGCTGTGACACCTGATAACGCCCCCTACCCCCCACCCCACTGCCCTGCAGGAGTGGGATGGAAATCCAGCCTGGGCCCTTTTCCCTGGGCTGTGGACCCCAGGGGTGGACACCCAGTCTACTGACACCAGGCTGTGAACACTGGGTGAACACATGGGCACTGAGACTGTGGGCACGCAGGCTGTTGAAACCTAGGCTGTGGGAACCCAGCCTCAGACCCCTGGGGCTGTCGATCTCTGTGGACCTCAGGGGATGCCGACATCTGACAGGGCTAGGGAGATTGTGAGGATGTCCGACTCACCCTGGCCCCTCCTTGGCAGGTCACGGGGTCAAGTCCAGCCTGGGAGGGGAGGGCATGACTGGGGACGGTTACCTATTTGTGGGGATGGAGGGCCACAGAGATTAACTCTGCGGGAGAAGCATAAAATGTTATGAAACACGTTGGATTCTAATTCAGAGCAAATGTTTGGGGTGATGCCCTAAGGCCCAGACTGAGACATGGGAGCCCGCTCCTCAATGCAAGGAGCCCCCAGATCCATGCCCATCCAGAAACTTTCTGTTGCTCCAGCCTCTGGGTCCCTGAGGCTCTGAACTAGTAAACCCAGACAGAGGGACCTCTTCCCTTTGCAAAGGTCTTGCCAGGCCACCCTCATCCCAACGGGGTTGCAGTCCCACTGACTGTGCACCCCAATAGGAAGCCCTCTGGAGGCTTCTCTGAGGTCAGGCTCATGTCTGTGGGGGCATGTGGGGTCCGTGATCGATGGCACTGTTCTGCCCCAGACGTCCCTGGGCTTGTCTTCTGCTCTGCCCAATGGGGTGGGGGTGTCTGAGGACCATGGTCTGGAGCTTTTGGGGGACACTGGGGTGGCTTTGCTGCCTGGTAAACTCAGCCTTCTGGGACCTTCTCCTTCCAGATCCCTTCTCCTGGGCAACCCCTCCTTCCCCTTCCCACTGGGGGAGACACCCTGCTTGCCCACTGCCCCCAGGAGCACACCGCAGTTTACAAGGACATTGGAGGTGGCATCCCCCTTCTGCTCCAAGGCATTTTATGGAAAAGGAAGAGGAGGGAAGAAGAAAGGAAAACAAATGAGTGACTCCCACAAGGACCACACATGTTGGCTTGCTGTGGCTGCGGGACAGGGCTGGGCCCCAGCTGGCACCGGTCAACGCTAAGAAGGCTGTCCTGGAGCCCTGGGGCCTCCTGCTGGCCTGTTCACCGGCCTCCTGGCACCCAGCCTCAACAGATGCCCAAGTAGGGGTCCTCTGGCCCTCCCATGACCTCAACTTGGGATGCAGTTTGGGGCCCTTTCTATACCTCTCCTGTCACCAGGGGGTATGTGATGTGGTAGGGTGGTGGGAAATGAGGCTGTTCCCAGCACAGCAGGCTCCGGGGCTTGTGTAGTAGAGGGGCTGGGGACATCAGATGGGCCCTGGGCACTTCTCTCTACTCTCTTTTGGTTACCCTGCCCCCACTGCCCAGGCAGACCCTGTTAGCTGGGCAATTCCGTCTTTTCTGGACATGTACCCATGGTGTACCCTCTCCCTTCCAGACCCATACAGCTTGGCCCCTGCAGGCCGAGGCCCAGGGGAGATGGGACTAAGGCTGCATGAGGGGAGGGCCAAAAGGGGAAGTAGAGATGGAGTTGGGGGGTCTGAGTGGATAACACCCAGCCCTGTTCCTGGCTGCCCTGCTGGCCCTCCAGTATTGGCAGAACCCTGCTGGTTTGGCTCCTCCCCTCCCTGGGCTGTGCACCTGTGGGCTGAACGAGTCCTGGGGGCCGACCTCCTCTGGCCCTACCCAGGGTGGGCTTTGGAGCCCTTGAGAGGGAGGAGGCCAGCAGGTGGAAGAGAGACTGGACTGGGCAGGGAGGGGGTGGGGGAGGGCAGAAGCTGGCCCTGTGCCCCTTGCCATGGAGATGGATGCGCCCCCACATCCCCACCAGGGGTGGCCAAACTGGATGAGAGCTCTCCTGGGGGCCCTCCCAGCTTCTAGCCCTGTCTCCAGACCACAGGGAAGGTTCCCGTCACAGTGTGGGCTTCATCACCTTTAGGGGGGAGGGCAACTGGAGCCCACCCAAAGCCTGGGGACTGCGCCCTGGTCCTTCAGAAGGAGACAATCATTGGGGACAGGCAGCGCTGGAAAAAATGTTCTCACTGTGAGCACAAACAGGCGGCTCCAACCACCACCAGATGTTCCTGGAAAATGTTTAGGATCCGAGTCAACATATGAAATTTCCATCAAACTTTTTATTAATCAGGCATTTTTGTCAACCCCCGCCTGATCCCCCTGGATGTTGGGGCGCCCACTCGAGTTGCATTCCTGGGAGGAAGTCTGGCCTTCGTTCTTGCTTCTTGAGGGCCCCTGGCTTGGGAGGGAGGTTGCTCAGGGAGGTCAGCGGGAGGGCAGTAGGGCCACCTCCCCTCAGATTCCTGCCCGCAGCTCTATAGCTCGAGTCCTGCCACCTTCGGGGGTCTCGGGGTGAGGTGGGGTGGGGGCTCACGCTGCCACATTCGGAAGCAGCCCTTCTCAGTCACAGGCGACCTCCCGGGTGCCTGGGCAGGGCCTGCTAGGCTGCAGCCAGCTGTTTCCAGAGGTTCTGGAGGAGGCATGCAGCAGCGGCCGCTTTTATGGGGTGGGAGGCTCGTAAAGAACCAAGAGCCCCACTTAGGGCTGAGAGGCTGGCTGCCTCCAGAGCAGGGGAGCAGGGCAGGCTGGGTGCCCTGTAGGTTCAGGCACAAGGGGTAGGATCCCTCAGATCTAGGATTTGCTGAGGCTTCCCGACCTTGGGGGACCTCTCCCGCTGCACACTCCCCCTTCAGTGGCCACCCCCCTGGGAGCCCTGAGACCTTGACCAGGGAGTAGAAATGGGGGTTGGTCTGGGCTGGCTCCCCCAGAGGGGCTCAGGTCCCTGGATAGCACCCCAGAGCAGATTGTGGGTGGGTGGGGGGGAGCTGAGGAAGGGAGATCCTAATTCCATATAGATCTCTTGGCTGCTTAAAAAAAATTGTATGTATATCCATATATATATGTGTGTGTGTATATATGGTTGCCAATTTTGGGCTAAGGCTGTCAGTGGGGCGGGGGGCAGGAAGAGTGAAGTCTAACCAAAAGCATCCCATTCCCCCCCTACCCCCCAACCCCCAGAGCAGCTCCTGACATCTCTTTGAACCCTCAGGTTGGGGAGAGGAAGGTGGGCCCAGGGGACATGGCTCCCTTTCTGGGTCTGTGACTGATTGCCCAGGGTCCATCTGGGGTCCAGCCCACCTGCCCCACAGCAACACACCCATCACCTTCTCCCACCTCAGCCCTTGGCGTCCTTGGCGATGGACCCGTGGGCAGCCTTCAGAAGGTCACTCCCTGACACTGTCTCCCCTTCTTGTCCCCCAGCCCTGACCTGATCTAGGCCTCTGCTGGCCTGGCCCAGGTGGTCGGCCACCTCTGCTGACTCACTGGGGACCCCGGGCACTGGGCCACCCTCCTCTGAAGATGAACGGCCCTGCTCAGAAAGGAACAGAATGTGATCCCCGCCTTGGGCATGTCCCGGCCCAGGCCCACGGTGTCCAAGCCCTGTGTTTTACTGGGCGGCTCTGTTTTGCTCATTAAGCTACGGTGGGGAGCTGACATGAGGAGCCTGGAGGGGTGGTGGAGGCAGGGTCGAGGCAGCTGCTTGGTGATGCAGAGGGCCTGCCGCCTTCCAGGCTGCTGCTCTGAGGTTCAGGGGACCCCCTCTGCATTTGCCACTGAGAAGTGGGGTGCCCAAAGAATATGAAGAGGGCCCCTAAGAAGGAAGCAAGAGTGGGAAGGACTGGGAGGCATGGCTCAGAGGCTCCCCCAAAACGTTAGCAGTAAGGGAAGTGGGGAAGGCTTGCTGAGTGGCTGGGGCAGTCACCAGGGGAGTCAGAGTTGGACACTGGGGTACTGTCCCTGTCCGGGTGTCCTGGACCCTGAGTCCCTGCAAGCCACTTTCCCCTCTGAGTCCATGTTCAGGGGTGACATGGAGGTAGCAGGATGACTTCCCTTCCATTCCACCATTCACCCAGCTGTGGGGGTCGTTCTGCCCTGATGGGCTTTCAAGGAAGCAAGCTTCTACCCTGAACCATCCCAATGGGCCCTGGGTGGGGGCTTTGGTTCGTTTAAGGTGCAGGTCAATGCCTTATCCAGCCCTGCCCAGTCCTTGTTCACTTTCCCAGGGCTTACGCACCCTGGTGGTGCTGTCGGGTAAGCATTGCGCTGCTCACCAAAAGGTGGGCGGTTCAAACCCACTAGCTTCTCTGCGGGAGAAAGATGAGGCTGTCTACGCCTGTGAAAATGAACAGCCTTGGAAAAGTACAGGGGCGTTTCTACTCTGACCTAGAGGGTCACTGTGAGTTGGAATCCATTTGTTTCCAGTGAGTGTGTAATGCGGTTTTGAGGTCAAGGGTGAGGAAGCTGGCTGGGCCCTAGGACTTGCTGGCTGACCCAGCGGGGCGTGTGGGTCCCCATGCAATGGCATTCAGCCTTGCATCGGGGACTCTCATTACAAGGTCGAGGGCAGTCAAGGAATGGAAACCTTGACAGTGTGAGAGGGAGGTCAGGGATGAGGCCGGAGGGGTCTGATCAGGCCCCTGCTGACGCTACTCTCCGTTTTATTACCACCACCACCCCTTGCTGGGGTCTTGGCTCTGGCCCTTCTGAAGGTCAGAGTGCCCTTGCTGGTGGGCAACCCCTGTGTTCAGGGCTGCTAAGAGCATGGACAACTGGCTGAGGCGTCTTTCCCGGTGCACGGGAAACTGTCCGGATGGTTGACGTGGCGAGAATGAACTAGGCTGGCTGCTTTATGCATGTGTAATTAATTCTCAGAGACGTTCAGGTTCATCCCTCCTCCCACCAGCCAGCACCCTCCCTGCTGTCCTCTCCTCCGGTGTGGCCCCCATCATCCAAGGAGCAGGAGGCAGAGAGCCTCTGAGGGAATCAGAGACAGGGCAGTCATGTCGGGAGGAGGGAGGGTCCTCCTCGAGTGAAGTGGGGGTGGGGAAGCTGTGATGGGCGGGTGATGGAGGGTGCAGGGCCAGGGGCATCACGAGGTGTGGAGGAGGGGCAGGATGGGCGGCAGCAGCAGGGTCAGGGCTGAGGGCCAGGTCCCAGCAGCCTGGGTGGCCTTGATGTTGTCAGCAATCCAGGCCGAGAAGTGAGAGACACAGGTATACAGGTTGGGAGCCACACTGGGCAGGCACACGGTGCCGCAGCTCACCACTCCGATCTGCAGCCAGGTGTCGTTGTGCTTACAGACCAGGGGGCCCCCGGAGTCACCCTTGGAGGAGACACTCAGTGGGACACTTTCGTGGTGACACCCATGAATCCCCCTCGAAGGCCTTGGCCCTCCACAGAGGAGAGAAGGCTCCCTTCCTAGCTAACATAACAGCACTCCGACACTCTGAGAGCCATCTCCCACTGCCCTCCCACCTGCCTGGAGACGTGGGTGAGCGGGAGGCTCTGTAGAGGCAGGTCTCTCCGAAGGATGGGGCTGTGGTGCCAGGTCTCCTGGCGGAGAGATTCCCGGGGATCTTAATGAAGAAGACTATCTTGGTTCAGGGGGGATTTGTGGATGGTGTGGTCCCAGATGAGAGGATCAACCCCAGGGAGAGCGGGGGGCCTGCCTCCTTAGGGCATGAGGGCTAGTGTGGGTCTGCTTGAGGGACCTGTGGAAGGGGTGTCTCACCATACAGGCCATGGCTTTGTCCCTGATGTTGGCTGCACACAGCATCGTGCTGTGGGTCCGGTAGGGGAGGCCCAGGTACAGCTGGCAGTAGGAGTTATTGATGATGGACACCCGGGCCTCCTGGAGCATCGTCATGGCTGATGTCTCTGTGGACAGGGGCTTGTGGAGAAGGGGGCCTCTCCTGGACCCCACGCCCCCTGTGCCAGGGGGCCCACTGGTAGACAAGTGTGCCTGGGCATGGATGAAGGGCCTCATGTGGGCGCTGTCTCCAGGAACTTTGTACAGATGAGGAGACAGCCACAGACAGGGACCATCCTCCGGACCCCCGTCCCCCCACCCCTGCAAGATCACACCCACTGAAGCAGCAGGGCAGGACGCGCTTGGCTCCTCTGACGCTGGCCTCTAGACCCCCAACACATCTGTCTTCAGTGGCAGGGAGGAGAGAAGGTGGCGATGTGGGGAAAGTGAGGCGGTGGCCGTGCAGGACAGTCCCCAAGGCCTGTGGTGCACTCACACATGCACAGCCCTCTGTGGGCAGCGCTTGTGGACAGACACGTGGATGGAGGTGTCTGTGCAGGGCCTGGGGGCCTGGCTGGGTCTGGGCAGGTGGGGAAGGTTAACACACAGCTCTAGGGGGCCCTAGCCTCAGCACACCCCTTCTCTGGAGCTGTGAGCTATGGGAGCAAACTGTGGGATCAGGAGTGAATGGGGTGAGCTGTCTCAGGGTTAGACCAAGGGGTCACCAGCCTGTTTGTCCCTAAATGTTTGGTTCCTGTCACCTCACTTTGCTTCCCTCCATGAGGCCTCAGACTGGGACCACGTGGGTGTGTTCCCACCAAAGCAGGGTCACTTTGGCGTGGAGGAGCCAGGCAGGAGGGCAAGTCAGAGATGGGCAGACAAGATGACAGAGGCTGGCAGCATCGGGCCAAGCTGGGCTACTCCGCCACAGGCTTGGAGATGCAGAAATGCTGCCGTGGGGTGGCTATGGAAGCCCTGCAGGTTTCAATAACCCACCCCCAGCCCCAAACCCAGAGCCTCCAGGAGCTGGAGAATCGGAAACGCTAGGATGTTTCCTTCTTTCTGTCCTCAGCTTTGTTTAATCCCCCAACTGACCCACTCTGTAGCCCAAACCGGTCCCTTCCCCACAGCCTCTGCTTGGCCTCCCTCGGCGCTCAAAATGGTCCGTCCATCAACTCACTGGGCTCTTCAGCTCCATCTTCGATTCTGCCATCCTTTTTAGGGCAGTCTCCTACAGGCAAGCCGGAGCTTCACACACGGCTGAGAGCGCTAGCCCATCCAGCCACTGCCCTGGGTATAGAGATCCCATGTTCCACTAGCACTAAGTGCGTGCTGGTCAATGCCCAGGCCCAAGGACGTGTGGTAGGGGCTGAGCGCTTTTCCTCTCACCATTCCCTGCCCTAACCACCCCTCCACAACTGTCTCTCCCATCTGGTGGGGAGGGGATATTTAAAAATGAGCTGCTGGGGTATTAGCCTCCCAAGAGCAAAAGATTAGGAACTTATAAACCCTTTCCAGACTTGGGACCCAGGACTCTGGAGGGCACTCTGCCCTAGGACCCTGTTTTCCCTCATTCTTTGGGCCTGGGGTTGGGCAGCCTGTAGGGATTCGTGGCCCACGGATCCCCCGCCCCCTACCCCTAACCTTCCAGCTCCTCTCTATACTCACCTCCCTGGGCCCTTATTTTTGCCTCAACCCACCCAGGACATGAAGTATCCCATCTCTGGGGTCCTGCAGAGCCTTTGAGCCACAACGCTCTCTCGTCTTGATTCTTACCTCATCCATCTCAGGACTGCCCACCACACCTAATGATGGAGACCTCTGCTGGCCTGGGGAAGTGCTAGCTCTTTCCCTCACCTTTGACGTGTGTCTGGCCCCAGCCTGTGACCCAGCACTCCTCCTGCAGCAGCATGGGCATTTGAAAGTCGGGGGGAGGGAGTCTGACCGGCTGAACGAAGGCAGAGAACCGCACAGGTGCCCTCAGCTGCAGGAGAGCGATGTCCCCGCCGGTGAGCGCCTGCTTGCGTGTGTAGGTCGGATGCTGGAGAAATTGCTTGATGCCGGCCTTCTGGGTTCTCCAGCTGCTCTTTTTGAGGTTGGTGCTTCCCATCAGGACCTTCAGATCTCTGACTTTGGTGGATCTGTGGGGGTAGTCTCACTTCACCAGATGGTCCAGGGGCTACCGAATCGTCCTCAAGACACCTGCCACTCACCCCACTGTGGGACCTCCAGCCAGACCTCCCCTGTGGCTCCCAGCCCCAAGAAAGGTCTGGCCTCAGCCTCCCGCCTCACCTAGGTGTAATCATCTCCAACCCAGAGCCCAGCTGGGCTTGGCACTACAGGTGAGTTGGGGCACATGGAGTAGGGTGTGCCCTCTTGTCTAGAATCTATGTGGCGTGGGGTAGGCCCCTTTTCCTGGAATGCCTCATCAGCAACCCAGCCAAGTCTCCACCACACACCTGCACTGCACTTCATGTCTGTGGGGCCTGGGGGTAGGGTTTTGGGGGTAGGTCCAGACACTCTGCAGGGGTGAGCAAACTCATGTGAGCAGAGCAGGGGCTTGTCCCAGGTCCCAGAGCTACATAGGCCCAGGGCTCAGCAGATTCCATGCCTAGGCTCAACCCTGCCCGGCCTTCCAGCTCCATCCATTCCTCCAACCCCACCAGTATACTTCACTCTGGAAAACATTCGATAACATTTAAAAAAGAAAGAATTGAAAGATTTAAAAGCAAGTATCTCTCTGCTTTCATACTCTGGCTCCCCACATGGTGCTCTGAGCCTATGGTGTCTGGGATGTCTGTGGCCGGTGCCCTTGCATAGCCGCCTGTGGCCGGTGCCCTTGCATAGCCACCTGGACCCTGAGGACTCACCTGGAGAAGCAGTGGGCAGCGGTGAGCACCCAGCGTTGGCTGAGAATGGTGCCCCCGCAAGTGTGGTAGCCGTTGTGCTGCAGGCTAACCTGCCAGGGCCATCTCCCTGGGGGTGCGTCGTGGCCCCCCAAGACCTTGCCTTGCGTCTCTGTGGCACAGTTGCAGGCTGTGGGCAGGGAGCAGACAGTGCGCCCATGAGCATCCATCCCTTCCTTCGAAGTCCGTGCCCTTCACTCTAGACCACCCCTGAGACGAGCTCCTGCCCTCTTTGTGGTTCAAGTTGTCCGTATTTGGCGACTCCCTGCGGGTGTGAGTAGAAATGCTCCCCAGGGGGGTTTCAAGATGCTGACCTTTGAGAAACAGCCTCCTTGCTTTGTTTGAGAAACACCGCAGCCCCAACCCCCAAGACTCCCCCGGGTGGGTTTGAACCAACAGTCTTTCCGTTAGTAATCCGGTGCTGGCTTCCCCTCTCATCTCCTCGGAGAACCGAGTGCATCTGCCTGGTAGACGTCACCTCTCCCCCACGAGGGTAGCAAGGGAGTAGAGGGATACAAGTCCAAGGGGGGCGACAGACTTCAAATAACAAAGACGCCTCGTGGAGGGCGGGGCAGTGGGAACCAGGGGGAGGCGTTTGTGTGGACTGTTGACTTCTGCTCTCACCACCTGATGGTCATCTTGAACTTGCCCTGAGGCGGCCCTGCCACTTTGAGACTGCCTCTGAGGGTCCCACTGCAGGGCCGGGGTACAGTTTGGAGGTCTCCCCTGGGCACTCACACTCATGACCCTCCCTAAGCTCCTCCCTCGCAGGGGGCTGTAGTTTTGTTACCACAGGAATGGAAGAGAAGACCCGAGGGTTCCTGGGGGGTCGTCGGGGAAGATGATGGGAGGAAGTGTTGATCTCCTTCATAACGCCTTACTAACGCCTCCGGGAAGGCGGCCTGGCCCACCTTAGGGGTGCTCTTAGACTGGGGAGTGGGTACCAAGTAGTGGGGAGCAATAAAAAAATAAAGAGTAAAACCCACTGCTACGGAGTCGCTGCGGATTCCTAGCGACCCTGTAGAGCACGGTAACGCTGCCCGGGTACAGAAAGCCCGGTCTTCCCCGCAGAGAGGCTGGTAGTTTTGAACTGCTGACTTTGCAAGGGGCAGCTCCGCCCGTACCCGCGTCGCCGCCGCCAGCAGCCACGGTGGTTGGCATCAGCGGGCCTCACCTGCAGGCAGCAGCAGGAGCAGCACCTGGAGCCAGGGACCCGCCGCGGGCCGCCGGGGACCCAGCGGCGTCGCTAAGCAGCCACCAGAGACGCGAGTCCCGGGCTGACGGTCCATGGCCGGCGGTGGGCGGGGCTGCTGCCTCGCTAGCTCCACCCCCAGCCCCAATGCCCACAGCGCCCCCTCCTGCCGCCCTCCTGCCCAGCCCCGCTGCGCGCTGTGCGCGTCTGGGCTGCGCAAAGCGTGCGGTGTCCGGTGTTCTTACGAAGGATGTCTTCTAATGGCTCACCTCGAGGTCTCTCTGTTCTGATATCTCTATCTAATCTGTATCATCTATACCTATATCTATATCATCTATACCTATATCTATATCATCTGTACCTATACCTATATCTATAAATATCATCTATATTATATCTATGCCAGCTTCCATGGGGCTAGTATTTGTCTAGTACGAGTTCTGGCGGCACAGAGCTTCTGCGTTGGGCTGCTAACTGGAATGACCCGTTGTTCCATGCGAGGAGGATGGTTGCACTCCAGCGAGGCACAGTCTCGGGAACTCACACGGGCAGTTCTGCTCTGTCCTGAAGGGTTGCCATGAGGCCGTATTGACTCGATGGCAGCGAGTTTTTTGGGTTGAGTTTGCCCTCCTTTCCGCCCTCTTAGGTCATATAGCTACTAGCTAAGCGCTGGGCTACTAACTGGACTAAAAAGGTGGGTGGTTCAAATCTACCCAGAAGTGCCTCCGAAGTAAGGCCTGGAGATGGGCCCTAAAAGCCTTAGGAAGCCTCTCTCCTCTTCACACATCGGGATCGCCAGGAGTCAGAATGGACCAGATGGAAACCAACGGCAACCATCTCTTTCCATGTGTTTGCTTTAAAACGTCATCCTACTTTTAAAATTACATTTTTTGGAAACAGTGTATAGCCGGGGTATGTGGGCTTAAAAACACACACACACAAAACCAATTTCATCATCTTTTAGGCCCTTGGCATAAACTGTGATTATTGAGATATCTGAACTTATTTCTATCATTTTATGATTCTATTTCCATGATTACCAATTTCCATTTCTCATTTCTAGTCACTTAAAGATAGTATTTTATTTTAATATTTTCCCCTCACCCTGTGGGATTTTTCTGTTTTGAAATTTATATATCTTGGTTCTGTTTTTTTAAGTGACTGCTTACATTTTTACCCATATATTTCAATTTAAAAAGAATTAAAATCTGACTGCTTCCAAGGCAATAAAAGGACTTTAGAACATTTCAGCTCCAGTCATCCCCTTCTATTTCAATTTTTTGAATATTTTAGTTCTGCTTTTGATTCCACAAATTAGAAGAGCTATTTTAGTATTTTTATTGGGCTATGATTAACATATCATACAATTCTAATGTTCAGTCACATGAAGAGGAGTTGTACAATCATCACCACAATCAACTTTGGGACATTTTCTTCCTTCTTGTACTCATTACTATTGACTCCCACTTTCCCCCCCAACCTCCCGTGCCCCTCAGTAATTATTAATCCAGTTACTGCCTTCATAGAGTCACCCACCTTGGCTTTTCTATACAGAAAACACCCAAAACAAAGACCAAAACCCAAGAAAGACCCAACAGCAATGACCCAGAGAAAAACCTCAATCGAAAAGAAAGCAAAGAATATTAAAAAACTAGAATAAATTCAAATGGGTCAAAAGGGAGACCTAATGACAAGCTGTTACATTCCAGCCCAAATACAGCTGCCAAAATGCTCTTGTTTGATATTAAGACTATTCATATTTCTAGACTATGGTCAGGGGGGATTCACCGGAGACTCAATCCATGTAGGGACCCTGCAAATGAACTTCAGGCTACTACGATCATTCATAGGGTACTGAAAACTGAGTGCTTAGAATTTAGGCTCTGGTACTGTTCCCTCTTCTGGGTGTGGGTTTTATTGCTCACAATCCTTGGATCACACAGGTTGGTGTGTGTCTCCCATGTGGACTTAGTGGAACCCTTATTTAGATAGCTGCTTGTTTTGAGACAAGCCTTTAAGAGCTCAAATGCTGTTATTTATGATAGTTGGGCACCATCTGAGTTCTTCATTGATTTTTCTATAGCTCTCATATCTTTAATGATCTCCTGATGGTGACTACTGAGCAAGGCTGTGTCACAAGAACTAAGTGGTCTTGTGTTATAGCTACAATCACGTGAGAACTCATTTCTTTGAGGGTGTTCAACAGATGGCAACACAGGACCAACATATATTTGCTGTTTTCATGTTCTCTCTGCTTTTTTGTGACATATGTGAGTCACATCTTAGACATGGTTTTGTCTTTGTCAATGAGTGCCATAGCTCCAGCTCTCATGTCTGTGTAACCAGTGTTCATTCATCTACATTTCAAAGCTGTGAAAGTTAACAAATCATGTACTGTAATCTATTCAGATGTCCTACATATACATAAATCCCTTTTCTCAACAGTGTGTTAAATCCTATATCATTGGCTAAAATAATGTTTTGATCAATAGAATTACATTATGCCCGATGGGGATGATTTATAAAGTACTCCAACAAATGATAATAATGTTTCTAAAATGAACTGAAAATATATAAATCACAGATATGTGAATAGATGCCATTTTACTATTTCATACAGGTCATTTTGTCTGGATTCGTCCATACAGTTATCATTCTGTCGGCTCACTATTCCGTCACAAACACCATCCTGGTCCCCTGGGAATAATTTCCTTCTTCTTCTTTTTAAAAACTTTTCTTCTTCTTAAACTACATACTTTACTAATTCATTGGGAGCAGATTTCTAGGGCTATAGATCCTTCATTTCCATTGATCTTGAAATGATTGTGTTTCTCAGTATGCGATTCTAGATGGCAGGGCTTTTCAATTCCTCTTAGCTAGTATTTCACAGTTACACCTATAGATATCTAGAGTTGACTTTTGTTTTAGGAGCGAGGTGGAGATCAAGTTTCACTATTCTTCCATCTAGATTTTGAAGACACCGTCCTTTCTCCATAGAGTCCTTGTTGTCTTGCATTTTGTGTTTCTATGGGCATAGATCTGCTTGTCAGCTCCCCGTTCGATCTAATTCCTTGTTTGTGTATTCTAACACCAATAATACCTCACTGTCCTAACTACTGTAGCTCTACTCATAGCCACTAGATAAAATCCTAGGTTATGTGTTGGGCTTGTGATCTGCATGGTTGTCAGTTCGAAACCACCAGCAGCTCTAAGTGAGAAAGACAGGGTTTTATACTCTCATAAACAGTTATAGTTTCAGAAACCACAAGGGGTCGCTATGAGTCAGCCTTGACTCGATGGAATTGAGTTTGGTTTTGGTTTGGAGAGAAACTTCTTCAGCCTTGTTCTTCCAATATGGCTTGGATACTTGAACCTTCATATTGCTAGATAATTTTCGACCCAGTTTGTGACTTGATATGAACACATGCATGACATGATATGACTATGATTGCAATAGCATTGAATTGATAGTCTGAGATAGGAGGAAATGACAGCTTCCAATATTGAGTGATGGTACAGCTGTTTATTTAGGGATTTTTTTCTCTGTATATTTTTTATAGTTTTTTTGAGGTCAAGGTCTTGAATATATTTACTATATTTATTCCTAGGTGTATTATTTTAAAATTCTATTGGAAATGGAAACTGTTTTCAGCTGAACTTTCTAGGAGCTCGACGGTGGGAAAGAGCTCTTAAAAGAGGCCCGATTTAAGTTTACAGGACCGAGGACAAAAGCTAAGTAAAAGTGTTTCTCAGTCCAAGCACACAGGAAAATCTTGAACACAAACTAGAAGACAGAGTTTCTGCTACCACAGGACAGGGGATGGCCTTTTGTAACTTGCTTGGCCTCAGGCTGCCCTTGTTATGCATCAACCTTCCATGGCAGGCTACTTCCACTTGGCTAAGGACAATTCTCCTGAGAAGGGGGCAGCTGTAAGCTTTTAGCAGCCAACACTCACAGCAGCTGGCAGATTGATGTGCCAGCTGCTGAGAGGACCTGGCTGGGAAACCAACAGTATCCACTACAGCCATCCTTTGCTTGTCTTTAAAGTCACTCTCTTCCGCTGTCTCAGGAATTTGGCTGGTCACAACTTCCGAGAAAGCCTTCCAGAGGAGGGTCAGTCCTACTGTTGCCGTCGTTCCTGAGGCCATAACCGATGCTCTTTGCCCCTCCATTCCGCTTCCAATCTGCTCCACCTGGAGAGAAACGTTGCTAGTTTAAGTAGCTTGCCTGCGGAAGTAATTGATATCCTCAGTCTCAAGAAGTCGGAGTCCGCTCGCCGAACATGTGGCTGCATTTGTCTTTTCTAGTTGCAAGCAGATTACAACTCATTGAAAGAAAACCAAAATCCTTACAACTGGACCAATAAATGGAGAAAAGTTAAAGTTGTCAAGGATTTCATCTTGCTTGGATCCATTATCAATGCTCATGGAAGCAACAGTCAAAAGATACAATCATAGATACACCTAGGGCCTGGGTTCTACTGAGATAGATGGTCCAAAGTGTCAGGCCTGCTTGTACTGCAGTCTAGACCTGACACGAAGTCCTTTTTGACTCTGGGTCCCACTCAAAGCAGTAGTATCAAATACGGAGTACAGGGTGTGGTAGTTACATAATCTGGGGTCATCTTGAGATTGTGAAGAGTGAAGGGGTGGAGTTTAGCCTGTCAATCTGGTCATAGTTTGATGACCTCACTTGGAGGTGCGATGGAGATAACTAGCTCACGGGAGGCCAGATATGCTCTCTGCTTCGCATTCCTGTTAACAAGCTACATGGAGCTTGCTGATTGCAGCCAGAGCCCTGGAGGAGCTACATGGAGACCCACACCAGTGCTGATCATATGGAATGTAAACCCCCATCTAATTCACAGTAATAAATTGCTACAGAAAGATCCATGGATAATTCCTTGATTCCAAAGCTGAAAACAAAAGAGAATCCAAAAGGAAATCAAACAGAGCCATCAAGTCATGTGTGACCCTATCGATCAAGGTGGAAATGCCGCGATGGGCTTCCAAGGTTATAAGTCTTTACAGAAAGCCTCATCTTTCTTCCATGGATCATTTGGTGGTTTCAAACTGCTGACCTTTTGGTTAGGGGCC